ATGGAAGAGGGGAACTGGAACCTACAGGAAAATGGCGAGTCTCACTGAACAGAAAGGAGGATATATTGTTCAATCAATGGATTTCTTCTTCTAGGAATTTTCATTCAAAGATGAAACAAAAATCGGCGGGAACTTTTCGGACAACCCAATAATTTCACAACAGGAGGGTCTCTGAAACCACGCCTGGCTAGAGAAACACATTAATATGCAGAGGGCATGGCTGGAGGGGGGAGGGGGGGCACAGCATCTGGCTTTGGAGCGAGGATTTGATAGCTCTCGAGCCATGCAGGTGGGAAGATGCAATTCTATCAAAGATTTTTAGGCCTTTATTTGACCTGGCGGAGTCGTTCTGGACCGAGCATAATTTGACCATTATTGCTATCACTCTACTATGTATCAGGGCCATCGATATGATTGCAGGGAACAGACATCGATGATAGATCAACACTACGCCGATTGCTATATAAAGCCGTCGTTGAAAGGAAGTGATTATTGACCAAGCAATAAGGAATCGACAAAACTACCGAAGCCTTCTGCATTTCGAAACTGATCGCTTCGACACTCAGAATTAGAATGAGATATGGTGAGTGATGGAGAGCATTGCGCGCTATCTCGTTACCTACCAACAATGGCAGACCGCTTCCTCTACGAAAAAGACGATATGTGCTCCCTACATCATCATCCACGGCGTTCTACGTAAAAGTCATTCCAAGGCAGGACTCTCTGCAATTATCCCACACTCCTTACTGAGCAAGAGCGTGGAGTGCGTGTCAAGGTATCAGAAGCTCCTCGAATGTAAGCTTCAACCGACTTCGTCGTTGCTCAGGATGAAAAGTAGATGTCATATAAAAGTTACACAGGAAATGCCAGTGCCTACCACTAGACGCGACGCCGCAACCCGCAAGCGAAGGGCTCATCAAAAAGCACATGAGCTCGTTCTACCTCTGCTTTAACGGATATTTCACTACGACATCCTACCAGAGTGTGCTGAGTTGAAGGCAGGAGAATTCTGTGAACAGATGAGAGAGATGGTATTTCGCATCCCCCGATTCTCACCGTTACCAAGGAATTTTTGATCGTGAAAGATATTGCTCGACCACTCGATGCGAGCACGTTAATGGAGGGGCTGGGAAGACGTGCTATAACCTGATTATCTCACTCACCACATATTCACATGGCCTCAACTCATATGACTACTTTTAGAAACCCAAGGGCCTGCTCTAAATAGAAAAAAAGTCAGCTGCCCTACCGATGGAGAGACATTTGGGCTGTGGTGGATCACTTGCTTTATTGCTGTAGTTATTTTGGATTGAAAAAAGTTTTCGGACAACCTAAAATATCT